CTTATCACAAATTCTGTTAGTGGAGTCCAAATAAATGAGATTTCTCTAACTCTGATAGTTTCAAAACCTCAGGGAATGACTGGCAGTACAACTCTGTTTTGAAGTGGTATGTTGTACTGCAAAGTTAAGCAAGCAAAAGGAGAAGTCTAACATTCACCATTATATAGAATAAAGAACCAAACCACCAACCACCAAGTATCAAGTTCTGAATAAAGAATGCTCATTCTAGACTTCTGCTTATAATACAACAAAGGGTCAACAAAGGGCAATGTGTGGAGGCTAGTGGTGGTGATGGTAAACATCCACTGCCATCATCTTTATACCTGAATCATTCATGGGCCACTGAGTTCCATAATACCCCAGCAACCTTAACGAACCAAGAATAAACAGTGCTTCTACATCTAAAGCTCCCTAAGACTCACACTGCCACTGTTCTAAGCAAGGCTAAGTGGAAAATGCTAATAAGTGAAAGGCATGCTAAGCAGTCAAATTATGAAGAAGCTGTCAGGCAATGGTCTTAGCAGCAGAAGAGATACAGGAGTATATAAGACTGAAGACAAATTGGGCTCTTTAAGAATACATGGCTGGTGCAAAGAAAATCTTCAGGAGCCAAGTATTTAGAGAATTATTAAGTGATGTTATAACAAGGTCAGGAGTCTAGGTACATAGGTTTTAAATTACTGCAATAGCCTATAACAGAGTCCTATAAAGGGGATGAAAGGTACTTCATTACAACACTGGAAAAGCAAATTTCGGTGCTTCTGAGACCAGTAGGTATAATTTGTATGGCTTCTTCAGGTTTGTGCTAACTGCACATAGTTGGCTAGTGTGATGAGGTGAAAGAATATTCCTTGGGAAATTAGTTAATGAAATAAACCAAAGGAAATGAACCTCCAATTACTTAAGTCTGACACCCTGCTAACCTTCAGTGAAGCCCCCCCCCCACCTCATCGGGTAACTTGGAAAATCATGCCATTGGTATATTCAAGGAAAATAAAACAAAATCAATTGCTTTTCATTTAAAGTGAGTTTGGAAGAGCAGTTGCCAAGTCATGAGCTGTATATGAAATAAATGTGCCAACTCAGGAAATGTTCTCCCACTTCCAGGCTTGTATTAATTAAATAGAGTCTGTTTGTTTACCTTCAGGCTTCTTGGGGTTTTTTCCCCCAATCAGGACACAAAATACTTTGCAACTAAGAAGCCAGTGCCCTACAGCGACCCCAGGACAAGTTCTGTGGGCATCTTTGGAAAATGAAAGCATTGTTACAACACACCACTGATCAAGGAGAAACTGCCTTTGTTCTCAATGGTCCAATTGGTATTTGTGGCCACCGGGAGCGACAGCTTTCATTTCTCTTAGCACTAGTTCCAAAGCAATGTAGCCAGGTGCCATTTTGAAAGGAAACTGCTCTAACTACTCCTAATAGCTTAAGTCAGTATTTCCCCAAGTGAAAGATGGGTTACCCAGAGACATTTCAAAGACTGAGGTGGGAAAGTCAAAGGGAGAACCATGAAAACTACAGCTGTGTTTGCTTCCTAAATGACAGCACAGGTAGTCTAATATATCTAACTTATGGGGTATGATTAACATATATACACATTTTTCCAGGGGACAGAATAAGAGCTTTGATTTGGTTAGCTATTTTTACCTTTGAAAGATCCAACAAGTAGAGGTAAGGATAGATCAGTCCTCATTCCTCTCATAATGGGGGCTGATCTCAGCTTAGCTATTCCATCATACAACCTTGCTGCTATGTCTTCTATGTAGAAGTCTATACACTTTTACCAGACCTTATCATCTACACCTGATAGTGAATATGGACAGGTCATTCTGGGATGAACGTTAACCATATAAGCCAACTTTCAAATTTTCAAAACATGGACTGCATGGGGATACAAAATGTGCATACAAAGTATAGACACAGTACTTAAGTAAAAAGAAGGAATGGCATGAGGGGGAATAATGTGGACTCAAATATGTCCAGTCTTATTTAAAATGGGTATGAAGCTAGAGGACAGTTAGTGAGGGCCCATCTTACTGAACAAGCCAAGCTTGATGGTACATGGCCTGTGCTGCCAGTTGCAGAGGAAGCATAGATCAGAGGACTTCAGTCTCAGCTGTGGTTCTAGGGAAAAACCCTACCTGAAAGATTACTAAGCAAAAGTACTAGGTGTGGCTTAAATGATTATCACACCTGCTTAGCAAGTGTAAGGCTCTGAGTTCAATTCCCAGTACTGCCAAACAAAATCTTCCAATTCATCCACCCAGGTATTTTCATGGGTGGTTAACAAAAACATTTATTCATGGAGAAATAAATATATATTCTGAAGAATATATAACAAAATGGTAAAAGTAGGTATTTCCTGAGATGACTAGATTGTAGAAACCTAAAGGGCAACATGGTGACAAGTATACAACTGAAACTAAGTATATCTTAAGTATTCTCAACTACTATACACAGTAACTATGCAGTGATAGATACATTAACCCACTGGTAGTTGGGCTTGAACTCAGAGCCTGGGCCCTGTTGGCTTTTTTGCTCAAGGTTAGTACTTGAGCCACACCTCCACTTCCCACTTTTTTTTTCTGGTGGTTAATTGGAGATGAATATCACAGATTCTCCTGCCCAGTCTGGCTTCAAACCACAATCTTCAGATCTCAGCCTATTAAGCAGCTAGGATTACAGGCATGAGCCACCAGAGCCTGATTTACATGCAATCTGTCTGCAATGTATAAATACATCAAAACATCACATTATATTTTTTGTGTAAATGTAAGGTTTGTATATATAAATATATAATTGTCAATTATGCTAAAAAGAATGTTACCTACCATTAGAGATTCTGATGACATAGAATAAGTTTTAGATTGTTACCTAAATTTCTCCAAAACTATTGTATCCATTTTTTGGGGGGGTGGGGGAGGGGATTGTTAGTGGGGCCTGAACACCATCCCTCAGCGATTCAGCTCAAGGCTAGCACTCTACCACTTGAGCCACAAAGCCACTTCCAGCTTTTTTGCTTATGTGGTGCTGAGGAATGGAACGCAGGGCCTCATGCATGCAAGGCAAGCACACTACCACTGAGCCACCTTCCCAGCCCTCATATCCATTTTATAAGTAATAAATCCAGAGGTCACACCTAGCACATTTGAGTATCTGTATTTCAGTTATATATTATTTTGAAAAAGGGACTGTTTATACCATTCAGCAACATTAAAATGCACACATTCCTGCACCAGAATATACAAAACACTGTCATCCCTATTCCTAACGGAAACATGAGCTAGATGCACACAGGTAATTGCTAAAAGGTGCTTCATATGCATTTTGAGAAAGGGCACACTTGTTTGTGAAATGCAGAGATTTTTACCAGGATCTTTCAAGAGTAAAAAACCTGAAAGAATAACCTAGAAAGAGGAAACATCTGAGCTGAATGTGAGGTCTAGATATCCCAGTGAGTATTACAACTACAGAGAAGCAAGCTGTCTAGCACACACACTACCAGAGTGCAAGTGTTTTCTGGGACTGGAACAAGGTAAGATTCCCAAGGGCAGTCAGTGGTATAGTACAAGAGTTGCAGAGTGGACCTGGGATAAAAGCAATCTGGGAGCACAAAGTCAAACAAACTTGCAAGGATGTCTTTACTACTAGAATTCACCAAGCTCTCAGGAGGCTAATGCACACTGAGTTTCAGACAGAAGGAAGCCAACATTGTTTGACCATAGATAGAATCCTATTCTTGAAAATGGAAATGCCTTAGCCAACACTAGAGTTTAAAGGGTAACAAAATCAAAACCAGACAGTCTGGCTTCAGAAACATTATCACTGTCTCATCCCATCTAAGAACAACTCAGTTACAATTCCTTCCCAAGGATCACAAGACTTTGACCTAGCAAGTTAATAAAGGGTTACTATGAGAATGGGAAGAGTAGCTTCCAAATATGGCATGACAGCTTTATGTTGCTTGTAGGGCCTAAACTCAGGGCCTGGAGCCATGTCCTTGAACTAAGTGGTTCTACAATTTGAGCCACAGCTCCACTTCAGGTTTATTGGTGGTTACAGGTAGAGTCTCATGGACTTTCCCGCTGGAGCTGGTTTCAAATCACTAATCATCAAACCTTGCCTCCTAAGTAGCTAGGATCACAGGCCTGAGCCACCAGTATCCATGCATAATATATATACATATTTTTTTTTTGGGGGGGGGTCCAGTCATGGGGCCTGAACTCTGGGCCTGGGTGCTGTCCGTCAGCTCTTCAGCTCAAGGCTAGCACTCTACCACTTGAGCCACAGCGCCACTTCCGGCTTTTTTCTTTTTGCTTATGTGGTGCTGAGGAATCGAACCCAGGGCCTCTGGCATGCAAGGCATGCGCTCTACCACTGAGCCACCTTCCCAGCCCCCATGCATAATATATTAAAAACAACCCCCCCCCCAAAAAAAAAATCCAGTTTCTCCCAATTGCATACATCAACACATTTGTTGGTAAAATCAGTTGAGTTAGTATAACCAACATTGAAAAGGAGCTTAAAAAACAAAAAGAAAATACATACACACCATACATATCACATGTGGAAAGGGCAAGTAATGTTTTATGCACCCTTGTCAGTTATATATGGCTTGTGCTCTAAACTGTAGCTCCAAAATGTTATTTTTTTACTTGGGTCACAGATTACATGCTTAAAAGTCACTACTCTGTAAGACAAAAGACTAAAGGCAAAGACTGGAAGCTGCACTATTCAAAGAAACCAAAAAACAGTAGCAGTAGAAAGAAATGAAAGATTAACAGAAGAGACACTAAAAGAATAGATGAAAACACCAATGAAATGAGTTAACATCCCTGAGTAATTAGGGAGAAAGGTTCTATAAAAATAAACAGGCACTTATAAGGGAGAGCCAGCTAAGTAGTACTCAGGGCAGGCAAGGAGGCATATTTAGTTTCAAGAGACAAGAGGACATCTAGATAGAACCACCAAAAAAGCTCCCCAACACAAACTCAGAGACAGGTCCACAACATGGTTTTAATTTGGTCACCTTTAACAGTACCATACTAATTACCTTTGTTATACAACAAATTTATGTTGTTCTCAAACCAAGTGGTTATGACTTTTAAAAGTACATAATCACAACAAAGAACCAATATCATCAGTTAGTCCCTGGCTATTACATTATTTACCATCCCAAGGGCTTCACTCTGATTTAGCATTTGATGGATAAGTCCAGAAGGGCCTGTCATTTGGCTCTCTGCATGAAGATGATTTCACCAGCACAGGGACATAAGAGCTACATGAGCTCTATGGAACTGGCACTGCTAGGAGATCATCATGCCAAAAGGCACCCACAGGCTGCCACAGTAGGTCTGTGGCTGTCCTGAGACGCTGCATAGTTGGCTCAAAAGCCCTGCTGATCCACAGAGGGGGCACGCAGGAAATGGCTGAATTCCAACAGATCACTTTATTCACCACTGTATCACCAACATACATCAGAGCATACATAATTAAATAAGGCAGAGTGGACTTCAAGGTAAAATGTCATCCTCAACCTGCCCCTGATGAACAGTGTGTTTTACAAAAGCCTTTTTATGTAGTAAATTACATTAATTACCAATATTTAAAAATCCAACAGGAGGGCTCAGGATCTGATTTATTAGACAGCAGGAAAATAACAGGTCTAGATTCTGCTACAAAAAAGCTCAAACCACTCATTGACAGCAACTAGACTTGCCTAGGGGCAGGAAAGGAAATTCTTCAGACTACGCACAGGGAGAAACTCACCACCCTGAACAAGGTAGTAAAGAGTACACATATAGAAAACAGAGAAATCCACATACTAAATAACATATCCACAATGACTGTCATCCCTTAGGGATCGGATAAGCATGTGTTTGTAGGAAGCAAACAAAGCTTTCCATAGAGAAACCACTTTCACGAGATGATTAGGTGGACCTGAAATGAAGAAAATACATTTCAAAAGATTGGTTCAGATTTTGACAGGGTGTCACTGAAAAACTTATACGACCCTTTCTTTGTTATCAAAAGAACTCCTAAAAAATACAATGCAGTAAAGAATTAAGTCCTACTCAGAGGCATATACTTACAAGTAATACAAATTAAAAATAAAGAAGCTGTCAAATATCTAACTATGAAAGGTTAGAATACTAACTGGAACTACTTGGAATACGCCAAGCTAAGTTCGTGCTCTGCTTTAAGGCATTACATTGAAATGAATTTCATTCTCACTATCATTTTTTTTTCTTTTTAACCTTAATCACCAGCGGCTGGACAACTGAAATGGACAAGAGAACTATATAAATGTCAGAGTAATATGTAAACCTCATTAATGTTTCCAAAAATTCATTTATAGATAGAAACAGGTCCAAATAGATGCCTGTCTAAATGTACTGCAATTACGTTACAATTATTTTTCCAAATACACAGATATGCTCTGTCTTTTCTCAGCTCATTACTGACTCAAACAATTTGCTCTTCTGGGATCAATTGTTTGCTAATAAATAATTGTTTACAGTCACAAAATGATGTTAGGAGGTTTTCTTATTAGTTTTCCTTCTGCACCCTAATAAGATTGAAAACTAGCTGATTCCCAGGAGTCTAACCTTAACCTCGCTTTGTTTAACAGCCCAGGAAATGATGAACCATCTGCTTCAGAGAATGATGGACAGCCAAGAGGAAATACTGTTTAATTGTAGATTAACCTCCTCATGAAGCAGTCTGAAGCAGCTTTGAATCAGCAACCATAACCAGCAAAAGAAATAAATGGCTCAAGAGTCTTTTCCTCCCCCATTTAAGGTCCAGAAAGAATGCAAAAGGATTTTTATTACTTGTTTTTATTTACAAACATTTACCACCACAGCAGAAACAAAAACCAAAGTCAAAACTGATTCTCAAAAGTGCAGTCACTGCCTTAAATTTTTATTTGCCCAAATACCTTTAATGCAGCAAACCATCAAACATCTCATGCACTTAAGGGAGTTGTTAATAAGTTTTTTTTTTTTTAAATCAATAAAAACCTCTTTTTCATTATTTTCAGATTCTTATCTTAAAAGTATTATTTCTCTGGTTTCTTTGTAAATAACAATAAATCCACTGTTGGGGAATACAAATTGTTTTATTATCAACACGGCATTTAAATAAATGAAATCTTGTCAAGTACATGGTGACCTACAAGTTCAAAAGAAAAAAAAAAAAAAAAAGAACAGCATGAGATCAAAATGGCCGGCCAGGATAGAAGACACAAAAGTGACAGATTAAATGCAAACAGTTCTTTATCCAATAGACTTTACAATCGAAAGCTTTTCTCAAGTTAGTCCTGTAAAAGCATATGATACTAAATACTGAACATTCTGCCTCTTGCCTAGAACCCAACAAATTTAGCAAGGGTGTCATATTCATTTTAATTCAGAAAATACAGGACCTTGAAAACATTCCTATATTCCATAAGCATTGATAACCTTCTTCCAGGACCTTGGGGACAGGGAGCCAGCGAACAGGACAAAGTGACTCGGGTAGGACTATTATGATTTAACACATGCCTAACAATCCTCTCATAAGCTCAGTAGAGATAATTAAGTAAAAAAGCTTTTGAGAGTCTGGTAGCAAAAAAAAAAAAATTATTCTTCTCATTCAATAGTTCCAACCTAAAGTCAGAGACATCTATGAAAACTTCAAACTGAAGTAAATTTACTATTCTAGGCAAGGCCATGTAACTCTGGGTTTCCAATAAGACCTGAAGGTCATTCATTCTGTGTAAATGTTATAGAAACAACCTTCGTGGAGAGGAAAGATTTTTGGCAGTTCAAACTCCTAAATATCTTAAATAGAATTTACCAAAATAAATTATTCTTGAATTCCTCAACTTAATTTTGAAGCAATGAGCTAGTAATAACTGCAGAGATTCAAATAATAGAGCCTATTCAAGAAGAATGAGAGCTTGACATTCTTCTCTACAAAACAACTAGGCACAATTTTATCCATCAGACGTCTATCAACCTACGGATATTGAAAGCTTGGGAGAACAAGATAAAATCAACTCCAGCCCTACAGTCAGCTGTAATATCAAGCAGGCATCAACAATGCTATTCATGAGTTTAGAAAAATTAATAAATCCTGGGTTGAATGCAAGAAAAGGCTCAAATACAGGTGAAGCATACTCACTTGGGTTTTGTTTCAGCATCTGTCACTTGGCGAATGAAGATACCATCTTCAGGATGCTCTGTGTCATCCATTTCATACATATATGATGATGCTATGGCAAGCATGGTCCCATCATTGCTGAAGGCAAGTGATGCGATGCTGGTGGGGTACCGATGGAATTGGCACAGTCGCTTCTTGTTAAATGGATCCCAAATATTTACAAACCCATCAGAGCCACCTAGAAGTCATTTCAAAAGAGTTAAAATGATTCTTAAATCCAGACACAGTAAGAAACATCCCAACAAACAGCTAATTTTTAAGGTCACTGAAGTTAATTTCCCCCCAAGAAGTACTATACTAGAGTATCTGCCATAAACATTTTGAAAACACAAATTTTTTAAATAATTCTGCCTTAATAATTAGATATAAGTTAGCACACCATACTTTACCTGTGGCAAATGTATTGTGGATATTGTGAAAAGAAATAGCATTGACCGGGTAAATCTGCTCAATATTATTTTCTTTTAGTCTGTGACATTTGAAGGCATACTTCTTCTTCTGTACCTCAGGGCTGGGGTCCAAATACTCAACTGCCACTCGGCCTTCAATAGAGCTTAATACATAACCCTGTCAAGTAGGAACCGAAGGACACAGATGGTAAAATGTAGCTTCCAAAATAAGGAACTAGTTCCCAAATTTAATCTATAATAAAGATATTTCAGAGATGAAAATTACAACAAACTACTTAAGCTGTACTGTCATAATTATGGCAATTCTATAGAACGTGAAGAACATTTAGGGTGAATTTCTAAGAAAGAAGGCTATCAGCACTTGCTTTTCTCCGACTATCAAGCAAACTGCAATCAAAAATGTCAACTTCTTTTATCAAACCAAAATAAGGAAATGGAAGTATTTTAGTATCTTGTTTCCTGTCTAGAAGAAGATTCAAATTTGTTCCCTCAGTTAAAATATAGTCTGTATTCAATGGCTTCTTCATCTCTAACTGTAAGAACTGTGTTTCCTTACTGGGAGCATTAATAATCCAAATCGACCAAAACACCAGTCTTCCATCTCAGTCGCTCTACCTCCAACATTTACTATAGCTAGTCAGGTTTGGAAAAAATAAAAAAAATCAGAAACAGTCGAAAATGGTTTACAACTAGGTATTGGTGGCTCACTCCTGGCTACTTAGGAGGCTGAGATCAGAGGATCAAGGTTCAAAGCCTGCTGAGCAGCAAAGTTCATGAGATTCGTATCTTCAATTAACCAGCAAAGGCCAGAAGTGCAGCCATCTCAGGTGGTAGAGCGTGAGCCTTGAATTAAAGAGCGAAGGGGCAGTACTAAGTTCAAGCCCCAGAGGCTTATCACTTCAAGCCTTTTATCACGTCAAGCCTTTCCTTATACTTCCCTGAAATGGCAACATGTTATAAAAACAAGAGAAATAACATGCTAAATAAGCAATGTTTTATATCTTCAAGATAAAGTTTATTCCTAACTTACTTATAGGAAAAGAATTCAGGAAAACCCTAAACTCCCATTATAAAGTAAAGGTAGACCCACAGAAAACTTCAGATATAAAAACATACAAACACTTTATGTAACATAAGCATATTTTAATCACATTTAAGTCTCTTTAAATTTCACTTAATTCTTTATCTTCAATGGTAATGTACCATTTCCTTTAAATTTAAAAAAAAAAACACCTAGGGTTTTTTTGTTGTTGTTGTTTATGGTTTGGGGGTTTTCTTTGTAGTACTAGGAGTTGAACCCAGGGCCAATGCTTTATCACTTAAGCTACACTGACACACTAAGGTACTAGACTTCTGAGGCAAAGGGCCCAGAGGAGAGCCATGATTGCAAACATACCTGCTGTTTAGAATGATTTTTCCCCTTATGAAACTCTTATCACCACTGACCCCTCAACCAGCTCCCCTTACAACTTTAAGGACCAGGTGAGAAGGGAGCTCCCTAAAGAATAAAGAACAAGTTAATCTCGTTAAGTGATGATAGGAGAGTCACTCTGCAGATCCTAGAGGCAGTCTCAGTTGGACTCTGCAGGTCGCCCTATAACCCCAATACTAGTACCCCAATACTAGTGAAGTAGAGATCCAGAGGATAGTGGTTCCAAAGTCAGCCCAAAACTAGTTGCAAAAACTTAGCAAGAACCCCATCTCAACTAACAAGCCAGGTAGGGTGGGACATGTCTGTGCCCATGACTGTAATCCTAGCTATTCAAGAGGCCTAGGGTAGGAGGCATCAAAGTCTAAGGCTGGCAGTAAGCAAAAAGTCAAGACACTACTGAAAAATAACAAAAGCCAAAAAGGGCTGAGAGCATGGTTCAAATGGCAGAGTGCTTAACTAGTAAACTGAGGTCCTGAGTTCAAAACCCTAATACCACCAAAAATCAAACAAACAAAAAAAAACCCACCAGTATTGTGAGGAGCATTGCATCTAATTCTATAATTGAGAGAAGAAATCTATGAGTATCACGGTTACAAAAACCAAGGAAAAAAAAAAAAAAATCCAGGTATGTGTGGCTGTACACACCTGTAATCCCATCATTTGGGTGGCTAAGGGAGGAGGATCACCAGATCCAGGATAGCCTGGGCTACAAAGGAAAACCCTGCTGTTCCAAAGGGAAAGAAAAACAGCAAGTTCTGTCAACCTGAACTTCCAGATTCAATCCACTGATGTCTAAGTTTGATTTGTATTTGTATTTTTTCATCATCTTTAAGTAATATACAGAGATCAAACTCAGGATACCAATTATGAGTACAATTCACCTATCAATGCCACTCCTTTGCATCACGCATGGGGGTTTCTAAGTTTTCAAGTTGAAATATCTACAAAAGTAGATGAAGACCAGTGGCTCCAGTGTCAGAGCGCTAATCTTCAGCAAAAAAGCTCAGGGATAGCATCCAGGCCCTGAGTTCAAGCACCAGGACCAGCACACAAAAAAAGCTCTAAAGGTAATGGTCAAATCACTGAATATGAGATCAGTACCTGCTTGTTTGGGAAGGCCCGGATACATCGTGTCTGGTATTTCAGGCTGGACTCCCTGCGCTGCTGCACATAGCCCATGTTTCGTAAGTCCCACACCAGCACTCGGCGGCCTGCTGTACCCACAATCAGCCGGTCTCCAGACACTGAGAGGGTATACACCTTTTAGGAGAGATCAAAACGTGCTACAATTCATCTATATCCTGAAAGCGGCATTTTGACCACAAAGTCCATTTAATCATAAAACCCTAAGAAAACACAGGTACCAATGTTAGATACTGTGTGAAATCACTCACACAAAATAGCAAGCCCACAATATTCTTAACACTTCACTAAGTATCATATAAAATATGTTCTAATTAAGGCCACAGAAGTACTTTAAAGACTTAATGTTCTTTATTAAAAATAATAATTTCCCAGCTTCCTCATTTCATTTAGAGACATGAAAGGGGAAAACTCAAAATGAGACAGCAAAACCATAAAATTCAAGACCTCTTTAAATAACCTCTTACTTTACACAAAATAATTACTTTTTTCTATGAGACCACCTTTGGGAAGCAGATTTAATTCTGTAACTCCCAGCTTTTCTGAGAGGCAGGAAGGCACTATCCTTAACAAGCACTTTAGTTGTTTTAGGTGGCACAAGCTCAACATCAGAAAGAGGGTGACAATGGCATACAGCAAGGCTAGCCACATCTGAGGTCATCACACTCAGTGTTTAAGATACAAGTTCATCTTTAGGGAAAAAAAATTAAGCACTTTAGCCCCATATAGGGAAATACTTAAACTTCCACAAAAACTACTTGATATTAAATAACAAATTTACCCGCAAGCATTTGGTGGCTAAACTTTAGATAATATCTGGAGACAAGAGGTACCAAATTTTTCCTGATTAAATTATAAAACAAAATCTTGACCTAAGGTCATAACCAAGGTTATTATTTTCTTTTAACAAACATCTCTAATCTAACCCAATATTTCCAACTTTGAAGAATTGCTATTAAAAATATAGATACTCTGTGATATGGTAAGTAATCGCTTAACACTTAGCAATTACGCCATAACATTAATAATCACTAGCATGCCAACTTTAGATCATTGGCAAAAAAAAAAAAAAAAAAAAACTTAGGTAATAATGAAATGTCACAACAGCAGACCCTACAGTTTGACTTACAGTTTAGTAAATAAGGTGACTAAAAGAAAAATGAGAATTAAGAAGGAAATATTTAATGTTTGCATATTTGCATACTCTTATCAGAGAACAAAACGTTTTATGAAAAATGAAAATTAACCTAAGATGTATGAAGTATCAAAGTTCAAAACAGAATCCAGAAAGATCAATTTATAATGGTACAATCATATCAGAAATTTTACCTTAAATCTCTACTATACAGGTGACACACAAGCTTCTAATGGTGCTTTCTATCCCCACTGATCATAAATCAAAGGAAACTACTGTCATGCTACTGACTAGGTATATACATTTATCAAAGAAAGTATTAAAAAAAAGTGACATAATGAACCTTGCTGAACCAATAAGCAGCTTGATTCAGTGTGGCTGTCCATTATATGATATTCTGTCAGCAATTTATCACAGTTCTTAACATGTTACATACAACCATAAATCAAAACTAGAAACAATGCAATTATTTTATTCTGAACAAAGGTCTTGCCAGGAGTAGATCCGACTGTGATATGACAAAAATAATGGCTCTTTGGATGCACTACTGTATATAATGATGGCTAACAGGAACTGAATAGCATATTTACACCAAGGAAACATTTTTAAACTGCTAAAATCATTGATCTTTAAAATTAACTACCATCTGATAAAGTATGATAAGGATAGTTAGAATTCTCACTTTCCTCACACAGATCAAAAGGTTAGGATAATATAAAAGGTCTCCAAACTACATTGATCAGCATGCACACACACACACACACACACACATATACATACACATAAAAACATACAAAATACACATATATATATATGTATATATATGAGAACAGTTAAAGCTTCAGATCATACAACACCTTTTCACTTAACATGAAACAATAACCTATTTCACCCTCAACAGTCTATGAATATAAAAATCTTACCTTTTCAGGTTGAGAGAAGGTTCCAGCATTACAAGGAGTTCTGGGATCCCACAATTTAACGGTTTGATCCCAACTTCCAGTAACCATCACATTCACTTCCGGACAGTATTCAACACATCTGATAGGGGCATCATGAGTTCCAACAAGATTTTCTATAGGAAAAAGAGAAAAAAAATAAGTAACACCTGGCTTTATTATCTCAATTAAACAAAAATTCTTCAACTTAACAAACTAAAGGAATATTCAACTATGATGTCTCATTCGACTCCACAGAAATGTCTGCATACAGAAGTCTCTCCATGACTACAAGAAGTTATCCTTTCCTCTCTATTCACTTACACTTCATAGTTTGATTCACTAACATAACATATTACCAAAGACTACCTTGAATTTCTAATTGCATTAAAATGATGGCATGTCTGCTAATTTCTTCACTGATTCTAGATTTTCTCACCAACAATCTTGTTTAATCTCTCTCTGCTTATAGCTCGTGCAAGACTCAGTACATTCCAGGTGTTCAAGAATACCTGTTGAATAATAATAAATGTGCAGAGAAATTACTCTGGTCTCCTGTATCTTTGCAACTCTCAGCTCTCTTAAACATTAAGCCAATGATAATTTAAAAAAAAAAAAAACAGAAAGCAACTTATTTATGTGGTTACAGGACTATTAGAGATGGGCAGAGGCTTTTGCATGAAAGTCCCTTTCTGATGTGACTTTTAATTGCTCATGTTTGGTTTCAATTATTTAGTCTTTCAATTCAATGTACTCAAGCCCAAATAAATTGTCTCAATTATTGTCTCAATTATTCCACTTGGTTTTTCACAGTAGGTCAAATTTATAATGCATAATTTACTTCCTACCAGTTTCAACCTTTACAATATCCCATTTATTTAGTTAATTATTGCCAATATGCCAAAACCCATGTAATCTAAGGATACACAAATGAATGAACAGGGCTAGGGAATACAGCTTAGGACTAGAGCACTTTCAAAACACTGGATTCAATTCCCAGGCATGCATACATGCATGCATAAGGAAGTTCTGAGTCTTAATAACAGTATAACATTGACACAAGAAACAAAAGTTATCTCATGAAGTTTGAAATGGTCTTCATAGAAGTAACAGTTCTCTTAAGCTACAATTTATAATAATATTATTTCCTAAACTTCTGAATAAACCTAAAAGATAATTTAATTATTTAAATTTATTAAATATTTAAATTTATTAATAATTAAAGCTAAAAGATAATTTATTATAAAAGGTAAGTTACTGGCAAGCCAAACCACATCTAGGCAGTTAAGTTACATAGGGAAGTACCTCTATGCAAAAGCCTCTGCGGACTGGGCACTTCTTGTATATATGTGCCATCTTCCATCTATTCTCCCATTGTTCAACTCCACCCATGTGTAGTTATCTGTGACCTGGCATCTCCTTTAAGAGTATCTATGTCTAATGTAGGATAAAAAATAGTTCAGAGCACTCAGCGTACATATGAGTTCCATTCCCATCTCTATTCTACCTCAATGTGATAAAAACAAACAAACAAACTGGGCCAGTCATTTTATATCTGGGCCTCTAATGAGATGAAACAAATTCCACTGATAAGTACACAAGCAAGACTAATATGAACATAATTATTATGTTGTGGGTGGTTGATTTCTTTTTGGAGGACTTTCCTCCTCCAACTTAAACTAGCTTCTAAAAAGACAACCTTAAAACATTCAACCTGCCTTGGAAAACCATAATGAATCATAAACCACTACAAGACTCTATCCATGTCTAAAGACAAACACCCATCATTTTCTTTAAAACACTTAGAATGTTGATTTTTACTGCAAAAACATACAAGGTTTTCTGGTACACAACACATGTACAATGTTTTCTGGTACACTGAATGATTATAATTTAAACAAAAAGGCCCAGAATTCCAACACAAGAATTCCCCCTAAGCACCTTAGTAACTAAGCAATTCAACTAATAATGTTTCTAAGTAAACACTTATAATACCTAGTAACAAAAATGATTTTTTTTAAAAAGTTGCCACATTACCTTGATCAGTATTTAAATCATGCATTTTCAACTGATGATCCAATCCTCCACTCCACGCATGTGTTGGATCCTACAAAGTTAAAGTTATGAAACATTTAAAAGTTACATAGCTTTATAAAGTATGTTAAAACTCTATTTCTGCAGCCAACTGTTCATGAAACTCAGGGTATCGAATAACCAACCATCTTTGTTGCAAATTTCAAGTACCATTACCCCATGTCTAGAAAGTTGACCTATGCCTATTCTTGAAACCCGAAAGCATCCGATAAAAGTTTGCATCTCCCCAATGCAAAATCCAAACCAAACAGACTGAGTTGGCACCTGGTTCAAGACAGGCGTTCCAGAACATCTAAAGAGCTGTCCCAGTGAGTTCCCCTAAGCGGCCTCCCACCCGAGCCTGCTCGGCCCAGGCTAACACCGTGTAAGGCGGGGGCAGACACGGAAGCCACCTACATAGAAGGCGCAGTCCAGCACGGCACCGGTGTGCTGGTACTTGAGTCGCATGGAGTTGGCGGGCACATCGTAGAGGCGCACCGACGTGTCCCAGGACGAGACCAGCAGAAACTGGGAGGTGTTGGGGCTGAACTTCACCGAGGAGATGCCATCCTCGGGTGGCTGGTTCAGCTTGAACTCGTTAGAACCTGTCATCTACACACAACAAATGACCAGTCAGCGTCGCCCCAGGGACTAGGGGTCGAGGGACAGACGGGGCACGCAGGCTGGGGCTGGGGGGCTGGGGGAGCCTGAGCGAGTCCAACGAGGTCTGCGCCTGCGCAGGCCGAAGCCCGCCACGGTGAAGACCCGCCCCGTCCCGCCCCGCGCCGTCCGGTCCCGGTCCCGCTCCCCCCGCGCCCCGCCCCAACCTGCCCCGGCCCGGCCCGGCCCAGCGCGTTCCCACCCCGACCCGCCCGGCCCGCATCGCCCGCCCGCTAACCGCGGCGGCCACGGCCCGCCTCCTCCCCGCCACCGGAGCTCGCGGCCCCAAACGCTCTCGAAAGAGGATGGAAGCGAGACGCGGTCCCCGGCGAACAGCCCCCCGTCCCCGGCTGCAGACCGGGGTCCGCGGAGAGTCCGCTACTGCGCCCCTCCGCCGCGCGCGCCTACCTTGGGCTCCCCGCTGAAGTAACGTCTCAAAGCTCCAGCCGCTGCGGCCGCCGCCTGGCTTCCCTCCGAACGCACTCGGGCCGGGCGAAGGAGGCGGAGAGGAAACTCCGGTACGGGCCTGCCATTGGCTGATTTCAAACGCCAACGGCTCAGTCCAGGAAGCCAATTGGTCCGTTCTGCTGTCTGAATCAGTCGTTGCAGTCTTTCTGTTCCGGCTCAAAGGGAAATCCTGGCTTTTCTGATCACGTGGTTTCGCCTTGCGACCGTGAGGCCCTAGAGCGATTACAAAACTACAACTCCCAGGATGCTTCGCGTTGAGGCGGGGCTCGCTCCCTCCCACGCCCGCGCTCAGTGAGCTGGGAGATGTAGTCTCCCTGGGGCCACCACCCTGCTTGTCTTCTGAATAGTTAGAGGGAAAGATGGGGTGTTTGTTGTTTTTGTTTTCTTTTTCCCAGTTCTGTTCATGGCACCCTGCCCTCAGTGACTCAGACACAACCGTTAGCTAAGACTAAATTCTTCTCTCCTCTGGGCGTGCATACATCTGAGAAGTGAACCAAAAACTTAACTATTGAAAGAAAAATATTTGTTCTTGTTCACTGCACTATTTTCCTCATTTCTTTTCTCACTTTTGGAGTTTGCGCCGAAGATTCGGGGCATCACGTTTCCCATTGTCTTAAGTTCTACTGACCTTATAGAAACTCGTACTTACCTCTCCACACCATCGTATTCCAGGCCTGGTGAGAGGCTCTGGGGAGATACATTTGATTAAACCAGCCCTTGGAAAGAACTCCATGAAGAAACAAATATTCTGCAGTGGTTTAAAGACCAAGTAGCTTCTTACAGAGATATATGCATCTCCTCATCCTAAAGTGACAGCAATAAGCCTCTCAGTTCCACCCTGCCAGCATTTTCTGTTTCTAGAATCCCCCAGAAAAAGGAGAATCAAGAAAGCTACTTCAATAATGAGAAATTTTTTACTCCGTGAAAGAAAAGCAATACCAAATCACTAGAATTTAGTGACTTATTTACCCTTTGAACTCCATGATGTAATCTCTTTTTCTCTATTTTAGAGGCAGTCATTATGTGATTTTGTATGCAGTGGGAGGCAACTGATAGGATTAAAGTATTTAAATCTTGAGGCATATTAAAAAGAAAACATTATTAGACACTGACACACTATGAGTTGGACGCACCTCTTCTGACTCTAGACAATAAACATACACAAAGCAACCCTTGTGCTTATTGCATTGGTGTGAAACGTTAATGACAAAGTTCAAAAATTTTAAACGCAATGCCCTATTTCCATTCTAACTTTAGCTAAATAATTTTATCTCCTGACTTATTTTGTTCTCTTTCCCAGTTGTTTAATTGCATTAGTGTTTCGAGATTCTAAGCATAAATTACCCGTTAATAAAATCTAAATGTATTTCATTATCCAGTGTGTGTATGATTCAGTTCCCTCTGGGCATGTAGTTGCAGCCAGACTCGATTTGAGTTTTAAGAAACGTCAATCTTTTAAATCTAGTTTAGAGGCTGAAGGGAGACCGATGACTTTGCTGATTATTCAAATGAATTGATGGGCTTGAGATAGGAAATCTAGCAACAATGGGAGTCTTGAACAACATTTTAAATACAAATACAAAGTTGTGTGTGTTCGTGTATGTAATAGTTACCTGTAAGAGAGAGACATTCTGAGAAACTAATTGCACTGTTATATCACCAATGACTGCTAATTACTGGGCTAGTAAAAACGGTAAAATCGCTACATATGATGAACTGGAAAGGGGTCAATTCCTAAGTGTTAAGGGTAAACTCACTCTACAATTAAGGGCTTATGATGATTAGAGGAAAACACTTCCTATAAGAGAAGCAAGCCTCAAGAGAATATGCGACCCCATACTATTCATCATCATCAAGCTGGTGGCTCACAGCTGCAATCCTAGTTACTTGGGAGGCTGAGATCTGAGGATCACAGTTTAAAGCCAGCAGGGGCAGGAAAGTCCTTGAGACTCGTTTCTCCAATTAACTGCCCCAAACCTGGAAATAGAGCTGTGGCTAAATGTGGTAGAGCATAAGCCTGGAGCACAGAAGCTCGGGGACAGCATGCAAGCCCTGCATTCAAGCCCCAGAACACAACACACACACACTCATCAAGCCATACACTATGGCTCCTGCCTCTAATTCTAGTCACTCAGGGGGCTGAGATCTGAGAATGACCATTGGAAGACAACCCAGGCAGGCTACTTGAAACTCTTATCTCCAATTAATTAAACCCCCCCCCCAAAACCAAAAGCCAGAAGTGGAGCTATGGTTTACTTAAGTGGAGTGCTAGCCTTGAGCAAAAAGGCTAAGGACATTGTCCAAGCCCTGAGTTCAAGCTCCAGTACTGGCACCTCCCCCTCAAAAAAAGTGATCAAACGATGATCTACTAAAATACGGGCCCCAAAATAAAAACTGATAGGAGTGAAACATTCCTATACAAGAAGTTTCTCTGGAGTAATTTGAGCGTTTCTCCAGAAATGCTCGAATAATAACCTTAGAGGAGTGAGAGAACTTCAGGGAAATAAAATATAGATATACAATAAATCAGAAATAAATGGACCACACCACTTTCCCGTCTTCCCACCCAAAATAATAGTGTAGTTTCTCAACGCGCGTCCTAGGGCTCTCTCTGTCAGCATATCACCATAAAATTCAGATAATCTCGATGCTGGCTTCAAGAGACCAGTCTGTCTCCCATCTAAAGACTGAGATCGGTCCCGGGCGCTGCCGCAGCTGCAGCCCCTTGACCAGGCTTGCACCGGAGCGGGGTGAGCGGCGTTCGCCCCACGAGGTGCGAACCACTCGCCTCTGCCGGGCTCAGCTGCTCATTTCCGACGCCTTACAATAAATAACAGGTGGCCCCTCCAGCCTAACCCCAGAGAAGCCCTCACCTGCGCTCTCAGCCCTGTCAAAGCTGCGGGCGTGTCTAGCCACTGCCCGTCCCTGGGCGCCTTCGCCCTGCTGGCTTCAGGATTCGATGCGGGGGAAAAAAAGCGATGGCGTGATCAGACTCTCCCAATGCAGACTTAGCCACCAAAGAAGCGCCTTTCGTCTCCTGTCCACGGTCACTTCCCGCGCAACTGTGTCGCTGGGGGCTGGTGCGTGGCTGCGAGCCGGTCGGGCAGCGCTGCCGGGGAAACGCACCGGACACCGCGCTGGCTGCTCGCCCTGCGCTGGAGGAGCGGAGGAGGCGCAGGCCGCAGCCGGGGCCGCGTCGTGGCGCAGCGGGCTTTGAGCCAAGCCCCCCAGCGAGCCCAGCACCGGGGGAGATGTTTTTCGCGTCCCCACCTGGCTCACTTGGAAGGCGGCAGCTTCAGCAGCCAGGCCTGTTTCCCCGCCTTCGTCTTTCCTGGCGCGAGTCTAAGTCTGGATCGCACCAGGAGCGCGCGCCCCAGCCCGCGCCACAATCCATCGCGGACCCTGGAAGGGTAGGGGAGAGCAGGCCCCAGCTACCTGCCATCCTGCCTCCCCCCGTAAGCGACGGCGAGCACAGCTTTAATTAACCCTGGCCACCAGCAACACCAGAACCCGACCTTTAAGAAATACCGGCACACTCTGCCACCAAAAAGCACCAAAAAAGCGCGTTGAACACCTCCCGTGCGTTGTCATGAAGGGCAATCGACCCCTCCAGAGTTAGCAAAGATGTTTAAAATGTGTTTATTTTCTTTTCTCTTTAAAAATATTTACAGATCCGAACTCTATCTCGCCCCTCCCCATCCTCAGGAGGAAGGAAACGAAAAGAGCCGGTCAGATCGGCGTCCAAAGCCCCCCCTCCCCACTCCCGAGGGCCCGGCCTGGCAGAGGGCCTGGCGGAGTTACAGACACGCCGCTGTACGCGTGGAGGGGAGAAGGGGTATGTCTGGTTAACTTGATGTTCATCTGATTCCTTGGCCCTCTACTAGCCAGAGCCGATGGGGGGTGGGGGCAAACTTGTTTTCTCGCCGCACCCCTAGGAAACACCCCTGTGCAGAATGGGTTTCCCCCGCGCGTCTCGGTTTGGTTTTGGGTAGAAAGCAGGCGATCTGGCACGAGGCCTGTGGATAAATACCCGACACAAACACAAACCAACAAAGCAGGGCAGAGGCCATAAATAAGAGATAAATGAACGAATACACATGGTGTATTTCTTAAGATTTCTGGAAACACGCCGCTTGGCTCCGGAGCACCGTGGACAGGTGCAGCCCGCGCCCGCACCCGACCCCCTCTCCCCGCCCGCCCGGATCCGCGGCAGGCAGGGGTGGAGAGGGAGGGCAGCTGGAAGCGGCGGCGGGGCGCACGGGGAGCGGGCGCCCGCGGGGCCCGGCGGGGCGGGTCAGTAGTCCAGCTTGTTGTAGAGGTTGTAGAGCGGTAAGGCCGAGAGGTTGCTGCCCGGGTAGTAGAGGGGCGCGGGGAAGGCGAGGGAGCGCGGCACGGGCACGCGCAGCAGCGAGCTGTCCCGGAACACCAGCGGCATGCCCACCAGAGTCTGCGCCGACGCGTGCGCCATGTTGGCCGCCTCCAGCTCGGCCGAGAGCTGCCGCTTCCACTTGTTGCGGCGGTTCTGGAACCAAGTCTTGACCTGGGTCTCGGTGAGCTGCAGGCTGGAGGCCAGGCAGGCGCGCTCCGAGCTGCTCAGGTAGCGCTTCATGTCGAAGGTGGACTCGAGCTGGTACACCTGGCTGCGCGAGAACACCGTCCGCGTCTTCTTCTTGGCCGCGCCCGCCTGCCGCTCGGCGGCCGCGCCGTCCCGGGGCCGCTCGGGCCCGGGCGAGGGCGAACCCGCCGGCAACAGCCGCTCTTTCTCTTCCTTAAAGTCCGGGTGCGAAGGAGACAGGAAAGGCGTGCGATCCGAGCCCGCGGGCCCCGCGCCGCCGCCGCCCTTGGGGGGACCTAGGGAAGCAGAGCAGACGGGAAGGCCTTGGAGTTAAAAGAGCCCCGGAGCGCCTCGGCTCTCCTGGAGGCTTAGGAGGGGAACAGACGCCTGCAACCCCGGGCCCGCTTTTTCCCTTTTTCTTTTTTTGCTTTACCAAACCTCCCCTTGCCCTGCCTCTCTTTCTAGCATCCAGATGCCAACCAAATGCTGCCGCCCCCCCCCCCCGGCCTTTCCAAAGCAACGGAAGAGGGACCTAGTGATTCCCAGATGCTGGGACCCACCCCTCCCCGTGCCTCCACCTTTATTAAAGGCAGCAGCAGGTGGAAGAGGCCTGGGGGTGGGGGCACCACTAACAGCCATCCGAACCCGTGGGGGTTTTGCCTCCTCCAGCCTTATAGGGGTGGCATCCTTTCACGGGCCGTTTGTTCGCCAATCTCTGCCTAAGGACTTCGTCCGAGGTAAGAGGACTCTGAGACACAGCACTGTCAATCATCGTAGAGTGCTGCTACTCGTTCGGAGGAGACAGAAGGGAAAGACGCTGCGGTACAGACGCAACGCGCAGACCTCACTGGCAGACCGCGCGTGTCCCGCACGAAAGTATTCCGTGTGCAAAACGGGGGATCAGGGACCCGAGCCGTGGGCCCCGCCCGCCCCGGGCCCAGTCCGCGGCGGTCCACTCGCCCTCTCCAGCCCGACCCCCCCTCCCCAAAGACCCCAGCTGTGCGGGGTCTGTGTCTCCCTCCACCCCTCCCCTTCCTCCCCGAGCGCCTGCCGGGCCTAGGAGGCCCTAGGGCGCGCGCGCCCCCTTCCTTCCCCTCGGCCCGGGACCCCCAGCGACGGCAGCCGTGACGGACGGGACCTGGCACGGGGCCTGGGCGGGGGCCGCACAGCCTCGCTCCCCCCGGGCGGCCCGGCTGGCGGCGTGCGATCCTTACCCAGGCAAGGAAAAGGAATAGGGGGGTGGTGGTGCTTGGGGCCTGGCTCCTTGGGGCCGTGCGGGTCTGGGCAGAAGCAAGCGGGCGCCTTCCAGCCGTCGTCCGGCTCCTCCTCCTCCGAGGACACCGACAGGCTGCGCTTCCGGGCCGGCCAGCCGGCGGGCTCCCGCGGCGCCTCGGTGGGGCCCCCGCCCAGGATGGACTGGATGGTGAAGCTGGAGACGCCGCCGCCGGCCGCCGGACACCCCTTGCCCACATCTTCCTTGCTTCCCATCCTGGGTTCATAAGAAATCGGAGGAAACCAAGAACTCCCTTTAGAGAAGACGCTCTGGGTGGAAGGTGGTGCGGGCGGGCGGGCGGGCGGGCAGGGGAGGGGCGGGGAGAGTCCGGGGTGGGGGGTGGGGGAGGGAGGGGGCTGCGAGCCTGGCGCGGCGTCCCTTCCGTGCGGGGGACACGCGCGGGCGCGGGACAGACGGACGCGCGGGGCTCGCCGCCCGCGCGGCTCCAGGTGAGCCCGCCCCGCCGGGTGCGGACGCCCCTTCCCCGCCGCGGGGTGGCTCGCCGGGCCCGGGCGGGCGGGCGGGCGGGCGCGGGGGGGGGGGATCGGCGCGGCCTCATTTGCATAGAGGTCCCCCCCCCTCCAAACGCGGCCAATCGCAGCGCCGCCGAGCGGCCCCGGAATTTTTCAAAAGAAAAAAAGCCCCAGCCGGGCACGCAGGGCGGGCGCCGCTCCCCGGCGCCCCGAGACCCCGGCGGGCGTCGCCTCGGTCCGTCCGAGGACATCTGGGCAGAACGCGCTCCACCCACGCCAGCTTGGATTCCTGGGCTGGGCCCGTGCCTGGGACCTCAGCCTCTCCAAGGACAAGGCTCACCGTGCCTTGGGGCGTCGTGCACCCGCACGTCTCCAAAGCCTACGGAACCTGGCACCTCCTAGGGGCTCCGCCTGGCTGTGTCCACCCCGCCGAGTCCTTCGCCAGCCCCCCCTCCCCATGGGACAGGCACGGCTGTCACCGGCCCGCGTGGGGTGGGTGGGTCTCGGACGGACGCTCTCTCCCATCACTGCCTGCGCCCCCCACCCCTGTCACAGGCCACAAGGTCTCGAGTCAAAGATCGCCCGGTTCGAGGCCCGACACCTCCGTTTCCACCGTGTCGGCGCGCACAGGTCTGTCTCCCTCGAAGCTTCTCTGCCCTCGGGTGGCGTCCCTCCCTTCCCCTATCGTGAAGATCGCTTCAGCTGCGGACTGGGACGGGGGGGGGCAAAAATTACCCACCCAGCGCTGGCAGCCGAGGCCAGGACTTCCTGAGTAAACCTTGACCCCGGGCCAGCCGTCCGCCTGGCCAGGCGACCAGCGAACTTCATTTTGGGTACGCATCGCAGGGGTCAGGATTGCTAATAATAGTAACAGTAATAGTAATAGAAGGAGAAGAGGAGGAGGAGAAGGGGAAGAAGGAGGAGGAAGAGGAAGAAGAGGAGGCGGAGAAAAGGAGGAGGAAGAGGAAGAAGGAGAGGAGAAAAGGAGGAAGAAGAGGAGGAGGAGGAGGAGAGGAGGAGGAAAAGAAGAGGAGGAGGAGGAGGAGGAGGAGAGGAAGAAGAGGAGAGGAGGAGAGGAGGAGGAGGAGGAGTTCGTCCTGGAAAGGAGAAGGGGACGTGGGCTGTGGGGATGGGCTTTCGTTCAGACGTGGCCGGGGTGGCCACGGACGGTCGAACATTGAGAGCTCGGGTTCCCTCTGGGCTCCACGTAACCGGAGGAATGCCGGCCTCGCCGAGGCCCCGGCGGGCCTGGCGCACCGGCTTCTCCCGACCCTGCCAGGGCTCCCTGCAAACCCCTGTCTCTGGCTTCTTTAGTTCCCAGATCGTTCGTTCCAGACCCGAGAATCATCTCAGCACTGGAGAAAGGTTCCGGGCGGGGGGCGGCTGCTGCCTACACAAGCTTTTGGGGGGGACGGAGCCAGATGAAGGCACCCCCTGCACCCCCACCCCGAGGCCTCGGGCCCCTCGGAGCCCTGCCCTGAAGGCGCACCCCCAAAAGCAAGCAGCCAAGAGTGAGCAGGGACTGGGGACTCTGCCCCCCCGCCTCCGCCCCCGCGCCCCGCGCCCCGCGCCCGGCGCCCCGCACGCATCCGAACTCCGCACGGTGACGGTGCCGTTCCTTCGGAGCCCGCGCCGCTCCCGGGTTATGGAGTAAAGCGCTTATAATATCATTAGCCGAGGTGAGTTACCGACTGTAGCCCTGCCCCTGGCAGAACTCTGCCTACTTAACTCCTGCAAGGGCTCGTTAATGGGCTAATTGATTAGGGGTCGGCCGCGCAGCCGGGAGCGGGGCGGGGACCGGGAGGCCGGCGAGGGGCAGGTGCCGGCCTCCGTCACCACATTAACCTCTTCAGGGCTCGGCGGTGGGGTCGAGACACATTACAAATGGTCAGCTTTAATCATGGTGTCAGCTCATTAACCCGGAAGGACCCGGCGCTGAAATACAATTTGTGCGTCCTCTCCTGCGCCATGCCAGCGCAGGCTCCCCGGGCCTGGTCACTGGTCACTGCGGGGCGCGGTTACGGGGTAGAGGGGGAGATTCCGGGAAAGGAGGGTCCAACTCCCGCGCTAACCTGTGGCCTCTCGCTGCCCCCTCGCCCCTCAGCTGGTGTTGTCTCGGGGACTAGAACCCAGGCCAACCTGGGGAGCAGAGCCAGGGTGCAAAGAGGAGAGTTGGTAGAAACATTTCTAACCTAGGAAGTACTTGGGTCCCAGTAGGGGCGCCTCATTCTTAATTTTGATCCTCACAGCAAATGTGATCTTCACTCCCATTGTACAGACAAGGCCAATCGAGGCGCAAGGAGGAAAGTGGCAGTCCCGGCAGAGCAAAGCAAGACTGTGGAGATCTCCACACAGAGTAAAGGGAAGAAGACTGGTGTTGGCACTGAGCCTGGAGAATAGCTGTGGAGAAGGCAGAAGATGCTAGCAATTAGGAGAGGGCTGGGGCAGGTGAAAGGATGGGGTGGAGAGCCCAAGGAACTGACCTCAGCCCCACCTGATAGACCCACCTAGGAGAAACATTCTAGGCCCAAGAACAGCAAGTGATTGAGGGTAGGGCAGGAACGACCAGACCTCCAAGAACCCAGCTGGAGGATTATAAACCAGACACCTATGAAGACAAATGAGCCTACTGCTCCGGTTCCCAGGATTGGGAAGCTAAACGAGCCATTTGGCCTAGGATTTCAGCCTGTCCTCACACACTCTGAGTGTCTCAACCCTCTTACTCCTCACGCTTTAAGCCATAGTGCACATGGCTTGCATAAGCCCTGTTGCACTCTCATACACTCACACTACTGCTGCTGCTGCTGCTGCTGCTGCTGCTGCTGCTGCTGCTGCTGCTACACTGGACCAAAGAAGTGGGTGGTGGGCACAAAGACTCAGGCAGGAAGGCAGTTCTCTGTTGCTGTGGGTCTCAGCTTTGCTGTGCTTCCCTTGACTGATTGATCACCTGCAGTCCTAAGCACCTATGGCAGTCACTGGGAAGGGCCTAGAAGGTTAAGGCTTGACCTTCTCCTACTGACACCACATATTTTGGACATCTGGGGAACTCCAAGACTTCAGAAGAGCGCAGAGACCTTACGCCCCCTCCTGGGCCTGAGCAACTACCAATCTCAGGACCAGGAAACCTATGGAAAACCCCATCCACAGACACCCAGCCCCTCTACCCTCAATGCTAATCCTGCAGCCTAAAACCACCCCACACACCCACCACATCTTCCCAGCTTCAGAATAGCTCCATGCTTCCCTACTTCACCGATTCAGTAGCTGACACTCTATCAGGTGGCCTTCTTAAATCTTTGGGGGGTGACCCCCTCCAAAAAATCAGGCATAACTGGATTCCAAAGAATGATAAACTTCTTGAGACTGAGAGAACGCTTCAAGTTTAGGTCCCAAGATTATGCCGCTGCTCAATATTAAAGCGGCCCAGAGCAAACTTGCCAAGGAGCCTAATAAAAATTGATCCTCTCTGCTCTGTGGCTGTGGGGAAATAGGCTGGCTGAGCCGGTAATAGTGGAAGAAGGCTCCCTCCAAATGACAGATGAAGTCATAAACAAGTTTGATCTTGGAATCAAGCTTCGATAAATATTAAACACAGTCTGCCCCCCCTTTTACGCCAGTGGATTATGATATATGGCGCGTCCAAACTTTAAAATAAGGAAATACCAGAGAAAATGATCTCAATAAATTTTCTAAGTATAAACGTTGATTATGTTTCGATTTTCATTCAAGGGCCTCTGCTGTTCGTTCTTTGGTGCAAATGACATCGTGCAATAGGCTTTTGGGGAAAAGGACTCCCTATTTGAAAAAGAGAGCCCCAGAGGTGTACAATTTATGTAATCTGCGGCTGGAAAATGAATTGTGTAATTTATTGGAAAACAGAAAGTCATGAAGATTGGATCAGCATAGCCGAAGCCCAACACCGCCCCCTCCCACATCCATCAAGTTCCAATTAACAGCCTAACCAGAGAGCTTTAATGGGTTTCCAATCTAGTGGCCTGATAGACTCATCAATTCCTCTGGGAGAAATTAAGAAAATCGACCGCCCCTTGGCGACGCAGTGTCATTCCTTTCTGCAACTATATGTCAAATTAAAAACACAATTAAAATTTAAACTGTTTCAATCAAAGGGTGCCCTGCAACCTATGTTTCACTTAATAGAACTTTGATGAAAATCTGATGCGTGCACTCCATCACCCAGGGGGGCAAGGGCGGCAGGAGATGGGGATTCTTTATATTTCTTTAAGACACGACTGCTGGGGTGAGGCACACCAGGTAGCTCCACCTCACTGCGAAGGCCTCAATGATGGGCAAAATGTTCTCTTCCGGCTCTCTCCTGGGCCCTCTAGCTAGCGCCACACATCTCCCTCAGCTCCTTTTCCTCTCCAGCCTCCAGAACCCAGAGGAATTCTTTCAGAACCTTGGAGACCCACACTTTGGACATTTCCAACCCCAAGACGCATTTCCTACAGCAGCAGCTAAGCCAAGGATCTGGGCAAGTACAACCAACACAAAACTCGTAGGAACTTTGCAGCCACTAGCTGCCCTTGGCTTCCGGTCTCTAAAACTGCCCTGATGTTTTAAAGAGGCTGTATAGAGTATGGTGTGGGTGGAAGGGGGTGGAATCCCTGGTTCTGGGGAGGACTATGATGTGTTGCAGTCTGGAACTTAACTCTCCTCAGCTGCAGCTATCTACAGGGTTCTCCTTGAAGGTATGTGAGCAGGAGAAACACACCAGGAGACAAATGCAGCCTAAAGCTCAACCCAAATCCTACTTGGAGTCACCAGGCAGAACTCCAAAGTCCACTCAACCTAGTTATCTCTGGAAGCTCTTTAGCATCTCTCTCCTCTCCCTGTTTGTAGGTCAAAAGGTCACCATCTTCTGTTCTGTGCGCAGGTGCACATTCAGGCATGCACACTTCCAGTACACCAGGCTCAATGCTGAATCCCGCAACGACTGCAGACTCCTGTGGTTTGGGGCAGCAAATAGGCAGGAAACCGAGAGGAGGAGCCTTGCAGGTGTCTGGAAGGGGAGGGGGAGGGACCCATGCTTCAGGGAAGGGGCGTTGTCTCTAGGGTCTGCCTGTGAGGAGCAGGGGAACTCAAGGTTCTTCTGCCCTGGACCCGGTGATGGTGATGTGTGGTCCAGTAGAAAGACCTTCTCCTAGCAGCTCTGTGGAGTTTGTTTAGATCTTTCTAATGGGAAGAGGACCCCTGAGATATGGATCACCTGGAGAAGTGGGGAAAATGGTCTTGGAACCAACCAGGGTCCCACCCAGCAAAGGCTCAGCCCCACGGCAGCTCTGGTGGAGAGCTCAGGTGTCCCACGCCCACAGAGATGGATGTAAGTTGGGGAGCTGGACATCACCAAAGGCCTTCCCAAAAGCATTTGGTCTTCAGACTAAAGAGCCTTGAATCCATTCCACCCCATCTCACTTGCCAAGCTGGCGACCACAGAAAAGAAAGCAAATCCCACAGACCTTTTTACCTCCTCCTTCTCCTGGCTCCACTTCCAGGCTCTCAGGCCAGGAGAGGCACGCCCACTGGAGTTCTCTTCGTGGCCTCTTGACTCAGGCTGGCCAGGGGCCTGCTGAGGGGCGTCCTGCTTAGAATGAGCACAGTTGGCAGGGGGGCAGTTTATATCTGTCTTGCTGTTGTTTGATGTACACACACCCGCTCTATTTACTACCAAATAAAAGAAATACATCTGTGTTGCCAACAGAAACAATTTGTGCGCTGACTCTGCGGTCTCCCGGGGCTCAAAGCTGCTCAGAGCAGCAGAGCCCGGCATTGTGGGAACCTAAATGTGGCCACAGGAGATGGGGGGGGGGGGGGGAACGGGCGAATGGTGGCCAGCTCAGCTAGTTTAACCAGCTGGCTTGGAAGGAAGCAGTGTGTGGCAAATCTGCTGGGGAGTCTTCAGGCTTTTGTGTGGAGTAGGGAGACTCATGCTCCCAAGTTTCTTCTAGCTCTCCTTAGGCTGGGGCCAGGTGACAATCCGCAACATAGGGTCAGGTAGAGCAAAGTGTGCCATTATGTCTACCCCTTAGTCATCACAGCAAAGCACATTTGTGGCTGGGACATGCAAGAAGACGGAGGCTAAGTGTGTGTTGAGAAGTAGAAAGGCTGTGTGCGTGTGCACACATGCATTTGTGTTGTTAAGTGTGAATCTACCAAGGTTGTTTGCACGTGTGTCTGCTTGGGCACTATAGAAAATATGTAGCAATGAAAGTGAATCACTTCTCTTGAAGGCTGAGTAGGGAGTAGATCCAGAAGGAGCAGAACTTGGAGTAAGCAGAGAGACAGTTGGACTCTACAAGGTGAAGGATCAAGCCAAGGATGCAGTGACCTGCAGTGTCCTGGCTTCCTGGCTTCCCCTTGTGGAATGTCCAGGAGGAATATCAAGAAATTGTCACCAACCCCCGCCTCCACACCTCCCAGAAATCTTTACAGACACATGGGGAGGGTCTTTTGGGTGGAGGAATAAGATGTCAGCCAGATGGGACCATCCTATGAATGGTTTCTTGGCTTCTTGTAACATGAAGGCCTTGAACCACTTGGAGAAGAACCTAGGATACTTCTTACTTTGATCAGCTTCACTGCTCCTTAGGCACTGGGAGAAATACCAGGACCCCAACCTGCCCTGAGGGAAGTGGATCTTTCCAACGTGCACCAGCTTGGAGGCGCTAGAGGCCTAGTATCACACTCCTATTCCATCTATTCCATGCTTCCTTCGCAAACGCTTTCTCTGGGGAGAAGTGCTGCTGGGGAGCGGGGAAGCTTCTGAACAGTAGGGAAAGAGAGGCCTGGGGGAGCAGGGCAAAGGCCAAACTATACCTGTGGAGAACCAGTCATGTCTTGACTTTGTAAAGACCAGGTCAGTCAGGAACCGTTTTCTGGAATCCACACAAATAAAGAAGTATTTTCTTGGCTGTTTGATAACATCGTGTTCTGGCTGTAAAATCTGAGGACATGTTTGCTATTGCAACATTATTTTTAATGAGCTGTTACTGGCCTGTCCTGCAGTTAGTATTGCCAACAGTGAAAAGTATCACCGTGTTTGCAGGTAACACAAGGAACAACGTATCTTTGACTCTGAATTTCTGTTTAGTTTTAATCTCTGACACAAGTCCTCATATTTATTCCAAACCTGAGGGAAATAGAGATCTATCTTTACTGGCGGTCCAGGCTAACCATGCTGGTTTACTGGGCTGAGAGGAGCAGTTTTCCATCAACGGGAGAGGACAGTCAACGTTTTGGGCACAGGAGAATCAATTGTGTTTGTGTCCATTGAATGGAAGCAGCCTGGCAACGCACTGGAAGGCAAGGGAGACCAAGCAGGCGCTCCCCAGCGGTGCCGCTCTGATTGTGTGCTCTCTGGAATCTTCTCAGCCTTTCGTTTTCTTCACTGCCACCCGCTTTGGTCTCCCTAGCTTCTTAAAACCTTTAGGGACAGGAGTATGGGCACACCAGGACCCCTCCTCCACCCCCTAGGGTTTGAAGGCAGCTGGCGATGCCCAGCTGTTAGGTTGCCTGCAGGCACCTGTTTCTTGCCGTAGACCAGCTTTTCCACAGGCTGCCCACTGACAGGGTGGTGGCCACAGACATTGGTCAGGACAGGAGGTCCCAGAAAGGTTGCTTCCCAGACCATGAGTGCTGATGAGCAGGGCAAGTCTGGCCAGAAGAACGGACCACATCATCATGGCTTCCTCTGATCCTGGCACTTGGCAGGTCTAGCTGCCAGAAAGCTGAAGTTCCCCAGCTCAGCTAAAGTCTCCATCTCCTCCAGAAAGTAAGAACGGCCAACCCATGCGCTGGTTAGCCCCCATGGCTGCCCTCCAGCTAAGCTACACTCCAAGATCATGCTTCTGGCATTCCTGTAGGGTCAATGGAGCTGCACATTCTGAGCCCCGCAACCTCTCAACCCCAAGCTCTCTGGGATCCTGCTGGAACCGTGGCTTGGAAAAGAGAGCGAGGCCTCAGCCTTGAACTCGGAAATACTGGTTGTCCTTAAGCTCCACTGTCACTTAGCTCATTTTCTCCAACTACGCAAACCTAGGCCTTTACCTTCCCACCCTCCATTCTTCCCTGCTCCTAAGACATTTCAAGCCACAGAAGATACTAGGCAAAGAGCCTCTTCACGGTGTCAAACAAAGCCACCTCTGTCTCTGCCGCCTGCTGGATTATAGGGGTGTGCGTTGAGGGCAGAGTAGCACAGAAGTAGAGAGAGAGAGAGAGAGAGAGAGAGAGAGAGAGGGGCGGGGGTGGGGGGGGGGAGAGTTTCCCAGACATCTGCTCTGGGAAAATTTACCCAAAGTCATACACTCTTGCAACATGAAAAGCTTCCATTTTCTTTTCTTTTTAATTAATTCAATTTCACAACAACATTAAGTGTAACAATATTTTGTAGAGTTTTTTTCTTTTTCTTAAAAAGGGATTAAACCTGGGCAGAGGTGAGGGAGACTAGGGATGATGAGAGGGGACGCAAACTACTGCAGAACAACAGGTGTAGCAGACAGAAAGAAAACAGATTGGGTAGCAGAGCAAGGCACCCTGCGGAGTTGAGGGAGAATTTTACAAGAAATCTGTACATTTATCAAATAAGTTAAGATTCTCCTAAATTGATTGTCCTTCACTTAAAGCGCTCCGGTATGTCTAGCTTACCCCCCTGGGCATGGCTACCTAGCCTTGCTGTCTTTCTTCTTTTCCCTTTCCCCTGTTTAATTTTCTTTCTACACTAATGACTGCCATTATACGGTGGAAAGGGCTGCATCCGTCATGGAAGAAGGAGCAGGATTCTGAAAATTTTGTACAATATTGCACAAGTCTAAGTACAATAGTTCCCGCAGAACCACAACAAAAAAGGTAGAGGAAGGAGATTTTAAAAAAAAGAAAGAAACGATTATTTCAAAAGAGGGAACAAAGTAATAATGATACAAATTAATAATAATTTACTGACAAGTGAAATTCTCCTAAATAAATAAGACCACTCCAACCCGGCCAGATGTGGAGTTCTGAATTTGTTGTTGTTGTAGCTGCCGTTTGGTCTCTTCCCTTTACATACTTGGTTAGAGGATTCTTCAGTCACAAAGCCAGACAGATGAAAAGGGTAGTTGCCACAGACCTTTCTGGGAGAGAAAATGGACCTGCGTGGCGATTCTTAGTAGACAGGGCTCAGATTCTGAAAACTGGGGAGGATAACTGGCCATAAAGGGGAAAACCACACCCACGAATCCAGAAATAAAAAAAGAATTACCAACCGACTCTTTCTGTGGATTCTGAAAATAATCCCACAGAAAAAGGGAAGAACCTAGAGAGGTTCAAATTTTGCGCATCTTTTCCTTTTATAAAAATAAAAACAAGAGAGAGATAGAGAGAAAGAGAGAGAGAAAGAGAGAGCGCTACTACGGTGAAATGAAAATTCAGGGCAAGGACTACACATTTTCCAAAAGCTTTTCGGCTGAAAGAGTTGACCTAGGAATGTTGTCTCTCTTTTTTCTTCTTCCTGTTTTCTGTTGACAGTAACCCAAATCAAAAGTAAGAGGAGAAGCGCCTCAAATCCATTAGGGATGAATTAACTGCACGCGCACACGCACACACACATTAAAAAAAATGCATCGCAAATACTTACAAATCGCTACCCATTGGGGGGGGAAGGGAGGGCCAGGCGGTGCGCCGCCCGCAGCCACGGTTCCCAAGGCCACCGGACATCTGGGCGCCTTTGGGCCTGGCCAAGTCTCCTCTGGGGGTGGAGGGGTGTCCAGAAAGGTGGTCGGGCATCTCCCTCCCTCTCCCCTCTCGGGCCTCAGACCGGCCTGAGCAGCGGCACGGAAGAGACCACCGGGTGCGAGTAGTAGACCGGATGCGGGAAGGTGAGCAAGGGCTGGCTGGCCGGGACCGGGGCCCCCGCGGCCGCGGCCGCCGCGCCCTCGGCCGCCGAGTTCTCGTGGTAGAGGATGGGCACGCGCACGATGCGCTGCGCCGCGGCGTGGCTCAGGTTGGCCGCCTCCAGCTCGGCTGCCAGCTGCCGCTTCCACTTGTTGCGGCGGTTCTGGAACCAGATCTTGACCTGCGTCTCGGTGAGGTGCAGCGACGCGGCCAGGCCGGCGCGCTCCGAGCTGCTCAGGTAGCGCTTCATGTCGAAGGTGGACTCGAGCTGGAAGACCTGGCTGCGCGAGAACACCGTGCGCGTCTTCTTCTTGCGGCACGCGGGCTTCTTCTCGGGGCTCTCGGCGCCCTTCTTCCAGTCCTCGGCGCCCGCCGCCGCCGCCGCCGCCGCCGTCCCCGCGCCGGCTCCGCCCGCGCCGGCGCCCGCCGCACCCGCCGCGGCCTCGCCCTCCTTCTTGCCTTCCTCCGAGTCGCTCTCCTCCAGGATGATCTCGTCCGGACTCTTGGAGTCCAGGAGCTCCTTGTGATCCGGGTCGGCCTTGAGCAGCGGCTCTGGGGAGTCCCGGTCCGTACCGGAGGCCGGAGAGGAGTCTCGCAGGAGGGCCTTCTCCGAGGCTGGGGAGACACAGACAGACGGACGGACGGACGCACACGCACACCCACCGACACAGCCGTGAGCGAGGCCCGGCGGGGCGTCTGCGGGCAGCAGGCT